TAGAGCTATTGATGCAGAGACTTTCAGCATGATTAAAGACCTAGCATGACAGAGTAAAACAAAAGAAGGAGATTGGAGACAGTGAGAGAGCGAGTCAGCAAGCACAATAATGGCTCATCACTCTAGTTTAAGCTGAAGTACTTTTTTCTGTGTGTAAATAGTGTGAAGAATAGAATGGTTATGTGATTAGATGCCATTTCAAGCAAAATAGTGTGGACCATATCCAATTAACAAAAAAGGACAAAGGAGGAGGGAATTAAAACCTTTTGATTTATGTTGATTTATTTATCAGACACTGAAGCAAAAACTAAATGATTTCTCTGTCTCTGTTATTGTAAAAGCTATCTGCAAAATGCAGAACAACAATAGCGGAAAAATCCAAATCACTGTAGATATGGTGAGCAAACTATGCTCTCATAACCCATGTGACATTATGTGAAGACTGAATATTTAGATCTTCAAACAGCAGAAAGAAAATGTTCAGTCGTTTGGTCAACATGTTGGATTTCAATGACTTTAGAAAAAGAATAAGAGAAGATACACTTCAGACTGTTTCCATTGTTTAACAGAACAATAAGCACCTAAATTATGTGGATGAGATGTACCAATATTGGGTATTGGACAGAAACCAGGCTTCATGTTGTCTTGGTTAAACGTTGTCTCAAAGGAAATTGCTCATCAATATCCTATCAATCTACAATGATTGATCTGTTTTTGTGAAGTCAGATACAACTTTCTATTTTTAGCTTAAATGTGTGACAACAGCAATTACAGCATCATCATAAAAAAACACCACAGATTTCATGGCAAATGTGTCAGAAAATATATCCAGACATGCTCTGCAGCTGTGGTTGACACAGTGGCTTCCCAGCAGGAGACGCTCTGCGGGAGGCTTGCTCTGACAACAGGAAATATTTACCCCTGACTCTTGGGAAACGAGAATGAAGGCAAGACATGGTACTCAAAGTCTGCTGTAGAAATCAAAGTGTTTTGTTTGTTGAACGTCCAGAATAGCTGATGATGCTCCCTGGCTGTTTGTTATTATGACAGTTTTTGTGGTGCAAATGAATGCATCTGCAATGTTAGCAGGTGGGCAGAAAGGAAATAGTGATCTAAGTCAAAGACAATGTGGTCCATTTGCACACACATTTGGGTTTTCTTCCTCTGTAATATATGGGGTATTTTGACCTGGTGAGTATAGTGCATTGTTCAAGGATTGGCCACCTATGTTCATGTGACTACAGTTGCACATATTATTCGGAAATGTAAGATCCTCGCAAAGCTTCTGGGAGAATGTCCTATGGACATATGAGACAAAACTGGAACATTTTGTCAAGGCACATCAGCTATGTATTCACAAATATATTTACAAATTATCTACTTACAAACTTATGAATGTAAATTCTCTGTCCTCCCAGTAATGGAAACTACAGAACATGTTTAAATTGGAAGAAATAAGGCAGTATATTAAGAAAAGAACGTTGTCCCTCGATCATATTTTGGGGCTGCATTTTTTCTTCTGGCACAGAAGGTCTTTAATCTTTGCAGGGTTCTTTCAATAAGCCAGGGGTACCAATAATTTTGTCATGTGTTTCATGAACTGTCTCATTTTAGCACACAAGCTGTGTTTGTGGTTTATGTATTGATTGAATACCTTTCCTAAACGGAAGTCTTGAGCAGCTTTCTATTGCTTTTATTTATCCTTTATTTAGCTTTGGTTCTAAGAATCTGATGTGATCCACTGTATAATAATAAACCAGGGGTCTTCAACGTTTTCCAGGCCAAGGACCCCCAAACTGATGGAGAGATGGAGCAGGGACACCCTTATTTTTTATATTATATGAAATTGTGTTATATCAAACTGGTCCTATAGTCGCTCTATTACAGTTGGTGTCATGTAATGAAAGTAACTTCTCGCTGGGATTATTAAAGTATTTCTGATTATGATTCGAATTCCTGGTTGATGGGACAAGTGTTGTGAATGAAACGGTGCCCAGCTTTAAAGAGCTCCTGTGTGTCGCTGAATCTGTGAATTGATGACTGAAATACATCTTCTGCCTCCATTTACAGTATCTGTTTACTTCAGTGTGTTCAATTCATGTTAATATGTATTTAAAAAAAAAAAAGGTGACCCCATGCAGTACCTCTGTGGACCCCCAAGGGGTCCCAGACCCCCTGTTGAAGACCTCAGGTATAAACTGTTGTTGATAATGATAATGAGAGAAAAAGTGAAGAGAGTTTTGTCAGGATATCTACCCTTATATCTGCTGGTGAAGATTCTCAGTCAACCCAAATGACCCGTATTCGTAAGGTTCAATAAGGTTCAATTTGCATGTTTTCTAAGCCAAAACAAGGCTTTGGTTTGGTACACTCTATAAAGCCTCAATCTCAATACTAATTCTGACATGAATTGAAAAAGATTTCTGGATGGGAAGCGAAATGTCTTCAAACTCGAATTGCTTTTTAAACATTTCTGGACTACCCTCATATCTTCTGTACATTCTGGGCCGGATAAGCTACAGGTTACTCTCCCTGCACCATTCAACCAGCCGACTCAACTTCTGTCACTGTGTTGGCTCGGACCAATGATTGTACCGTCATATGCAAATTTACACATTTTCACCTCAGTGAGATGGTCACAGGTCTAAGACACAAGTCTTTTTGGGTGAAATCCAATTCTAAGATCTCTGAAAACTAAAAAAAAGAGACGAACCTTGAAGACCTATACACCTATATCCCTGATGCTCTTTTTTAAATTATTTTTTATTTTTTTTAGGCCTAAATCATTTAATTAACATTTGATAACCACAATTTGAGTCATTTTAATATTCATTTTGGAAAATATTGAAGCAACGTCTACATTTTAAATCTACACATTTGTGTCATTTATGTTGTTTTTTTATATAAATAATCAATAAACTTCATAAAGGCCATGGTTTTCCTCTAGATAAACGTGAAACATTTTAAAGGTATGGTAAAATTTTTGCTAGAATAAATGCTTTTTTTTTTTT